CAATAACAATTATAGAAACATTGACTGGTATTATATAACAGATACAAGTTTTAACAAAAAACCTAAGTATCTGTTAAATATCTTGTTGTTGTTATCATTATTATTACTATTATTATTATTAGTAGTAGTATTAGTATTATTGGATGCATCCAACAAATTCTCCAGCTGTGGACCGGCATTCCATCGTTGCCCTCGTTGGGCAGTTTCCTCTTTTAAGTTTCAATTGAATTGCTGTTTCGTTATCTCGCAAGAACACCCTCCTCACACACACACTCACTCCTTTGTGGAGCGAATCTCCCCTTTCTCGCCGCCATAGCTCTTGGCGCTGAATTCCAATTTTATTTATCTAAAATATTTTTAGCCCGCCTTCCCCCTTAAAACGAACTCAAAGGCTGAAGGACATCTTGCACTAGATTGGCAGTTCCTTGTTCAATCCCAAGGCACGGTGAAAGCGGATCCCACCTCTTCACTTTGTGCTGTGACCAATTGAAACAAGGAGAAGGCGGAAACCTGTGAGCGCCTGCTTGGTTGTCATGGTAACGAAGAGCTGGCGCTTGTGAGGCCTTGTTTTGTTCTTCCGTCGTGTGCTCGCCTTTGGGCGTTGTGGTTCCTGGGAAGCCTTTTGAGTGGATATTTAGACTCTGCGGAGGCTAACGTTTCGCCGCCAGTATGGATCTGAGCCTGAACCGGGTGGATTATCTGCAGGTAAAATGGGACGGGAGGCATGTTGTGTGCCGGCGAGCACGGCTCTTTCCATCATTCGCTCCTCCTCTTAGGACAGGCAGCTTCCCTAGACCAGCAGTTCTCTTTCCATGTTACCGATTTCTGCTTCATAGGCAGAAATTCCACTGGTAATGGGAGCATGGAGAAAGCTTGATTTCTTGAAGATTTACCTGGCATGCAATAAAAGGAGGGGAGCTCTGCCAGAAGAGGGTTGAAGAGACAGAGCTGGTCTTGATTCTTGGCGCGAAATATGAGGAAATTACCCATCCCCATGTTGCTTAAAAGAAAAGAAAGAAAAATCCATCGTATTCGTCTTGGTTTAGCTAGCATACTCTGAGGAAAAGTTCTGTATAGGGAAGAGAGATCGCCTTGAACTTCTGGGATGAGAAGCTTTTGAGCTTTATAGGACTGTTTCTTCTAAAAAGAATGGGGCATTTATCTTATTGTTAAATTTCCCCACAATCAGTGTGAAAGTATTTTTCTTGGCAGTCTCCTGGACCAAGGGTGGGGGAAGGTTGCCTCCAAATTCTTTGCAAGCATTCAGTTGTGTATAATTAACTGGATGCAGAAAGGTGGTTTTGTGTATGTGTTCGGATATTAGAAACCTACATTTTATATCTTTACAATAAGATATGTGTTGACCCTAAATATCTGCTTTCATTGTATTCTTAGTGACGAGATGGGGTGAAATTATTATTTCTACATGTGTACCCACTCTTTTCAGACTGGCATCCCCCAAATAGTTCACACATTAATTAAATACAACTGGAGCAGAAGTGCATATACATTATGTCTTCTCTGCATTCTTTGCTGTTACAGTATTTTCTCACTAGGCAGTTGACCTCAGATGAAGTCAGGAGCCTAGTCCAGTGATCCAGGAGCTGGCCATGATTGTGTCTTTGTGTACTTTCCTGTCTCCCTCTCCTATGAAGTCATACAGTGCTTCATGACAAAGCTATTTGTATATGGTAAGAAATATATTTAAATGGTAGGGAAAAAAAGAATCTGCAGTGGCTAAACATGGGATGGCTACAGACCAAAGACACTATCATCTACTATCTTACTCTTGTTACTAGTCCATGAATGAACTGAAGGATTTGCACAGTAAAAGCTTTTTCATGGAAACATGACATGAATTAATGGGAGAAGGGGACAGGCAAGTAAAAAGCAATTTTGTTTTAAGCAATGGACTTAATTACAAACTGATCTTATTCATGATTATCCTAAAATTAAGACATTAGTAATACTGCGTATACAAAATCATAGCTTTATCTGAAAAGTTACATAATAGGTAGATAAAAAGGCTGCATGAAGTACCTTTAACTTATTTTTAGTGTTGTTTCAATTCTTTATTATTCAATCTGTTATAATAATAAAAACACTTTTTGTTTTGTATGTCAGACAACTATTTCTTAGTGGCATTTATTACATAAACACTCCTGTTGTGTGCTTGGTCCTGGCTCAGCAAAGGCAGAGGGGAAAGAAAGAGAAGTACCACTTCTTTAACATTTTAAATTATTACATGCCTTTAGCTGTGCAACAGGTGGTGATGTCAGCGGTGGGGAATTACTTCCTTTTGCAAGAGATCTCCTTTAATCAACAGCGACTTGTGGTGACATCTTATCCGTGGCGCATGTGGAGCTGTGCAACAGGGGTTCAGCCAGTGTTTATTTGCGTTTTATAGTCACTTGGCCCTAGTGGTTTAATTTTTTTTCTTTATGAAGGTATATACAGTCACAATGCAATATGCCATGTGTTGTTGCTCATCTGAGGTTGTATTTACCTAATTTTCAGACCTGCTAAGGACCAGATGATTTTTATGATGTCCTGATATGTAAAACCATAGAATTGGAAGAGGTGTACTTTCTTTTTCACATAACTGTGTACTGTACGTGGCAACTGAAGATACATGAAATGGTATCCAACAAAGTGGATTCTAGTTCATTAAATCTTATGCTACAGAAACAGGATAATGTATGCATTCCTAGTTAGAAGTACAGGCTACCAGTGATCTTTGGGGCTGAGTTTTCACTAAGTGTTTTTAGGATTGCAATCTTAAAACTGTTAGTCTTCTAAGTACCACAAGGCCCTTTTTAATAAAGACATTTCTGTTAGAAACACTGGATCAGCACAATGTTCTGAAATATGTTATGGCAAAATTTGTATGATTCTTAGATGTCTGTATTTTTGTAAATACTTTAAAGCAGCCGTCCCAACCTTTTTAAGCCTGTGGATTGGTTGGGGAAGGTGCCCCTCCGCGCTTGTGCGCATCAGCGAAGGAGTGGGTGCTTGCTCGTGCGTGCGTGTGCACAAAGGGTGGTGCGGTGCTCGCATGGGCGCAGGCACGCATGCATGTGCAAAAGGGGTGTGCGGGAAGGAAGTGCATGCGGGGGTGGGGGTAGGTCTGTCTTCACGGCCTGGTCCGGCTAAGGTCATGGACCAGCATTGGGCCACGGACTGGGGGTTAGTGACCTCTGCTTTAAAGAACAGTTCAGTATTGATTTGAAATACATGACTTGGTATATTAGTAATAAAGTGATTCTTCTCAATTAGGTTGGAGTGACCTCTCAAAAGACCATGAAGCTGCTTCCTACTTCAGGACGCAAGGCGACACAGAAGGTACAGAAATTAGTTCAGTTGAAATATTTGTATCTGGTGAAGTTTAGATATACAAATTATATTCTGTCATAAATAGTAAACACACACACACACATTGGGAGAAATGCATCTTGTAAATAAAACTAATAATATAAAATAGACATTCTATATTTATAGGAGTTTTTATATCTGGCTGAAATCCTGTTATGCAGTTACACAAATGGCATAGCTTGGAAGTAAATTGCTATAAATTAAGAAATCTTCATAGACATTATGTTTTGCATCTTGAGTCTCTCAAATTGGCATGCAAAAGATAATGCCTATACAGATTTCTTAATGTACAGTAATCCACATCTAAAAGTTATGTTGTTTGTGTAACCACAAGAGGATTCTAGCTACTGTTATCTTTTTTCAAATCCTCACTTTCTTTTATGAATTATGTAACCCTGAGAAATCTTATCCGTAACAAAAACATTATACATTTTTAAGTAGTATGTTATATAAGTGATGCCAAAAACAGTGAGTTGTCTGGTTGCTGATGGTTGTTTTTTTTACCATGCATTTTTTTATAAATGAAGTTGAGGAGGAATCTGAAGAAAAAGAGAATGGTTTTATAATTGTTCTAGAAGGCATTCCATGACAGTAGTGAGACAACAAAGGGTGGAAGAATAAAAATTACTGGTAAGATTATAGTGGGTATTAGGGCAATGAGAATTTTATCTGAGAGAGGATTCAAAAGCCTAAGTAACTCCACCATGGGTTTGAGGCCTAGCTGTGGTGGAGATGTTAGTGTACCACTTTGCAAGCTGTTCCCATGAGACCTTTGTTACCCTTTGGTGCACTGCTCGAGGTTTTTCTTAGTGGAGTATCATTGCTGAGTAGCTCCAGTTGTTTTCTTCTTCTTCTTTCAAGTTCTACCTGGATTAGGGGCTTAAGTATATATATGGGCAAGACAAATCTGCAAATGTTTGGCCCATTTTTCTTTCTGATTGAGATGTATGAGCTCAGGAATTAGATAGTTATTACTTTGAGATCTCATTGCCTGAGTATTAGCTTAGGTAAGTTAGACTATATTAGTTTCCCTTGTTGTGGCTGTTCCTGAACTATTTCTGTAATTTGGCTTTTTTCTCTTGCTTTGAAAAGTTATTTCTCTTTTTAATCAGGCATTTCTTATTTATAAGAAATATAAATATTTCTTACAAATAAGAAATATTTCTCCACAACTTGTGTATTTATTCAGAGTGTGGATTCAAGAGTTGGTTCTAAATCCACCCTTGACTCCTTGTCCTGCTTGGTGTGGTGATGGTTCTTCTCTGAAGGACTGATTTCAGCTGTCGGGGGTTATGTTCCTTCTTCACTTCTCACCAGCCCCTTTCACCGTAGCCCCTTTCAACACAACATCCTTTTTTGCTGCCCAGTGATGCAACTGAAGAGCATCAGTGGAGGGTAATAGCAAAGTGGACTTCGGAACCTGTTTCAGGCAATACCCAGGATAAAGGATTTGACAGTTGATCCTGTGAAGAAATTATAGGCTTTGAGGAGTTTAGGCCTCCATAGAGCTTTCACCCTGATGTGATCACAGCATCATCATCTTAGAACTGCAGAGCTGGATCATCATAAGAATTTGAGAATCATTGCATGGGCTGAAAGACTAGAGGAATTGCTCATCAGGCAGTATAGTTTTACAGAGATATGAAAAGATTGACAGTTACACAGTTGGCTGCTTAAGGCAGAAACACTTTCATGTAGCATTTCAGCTTCCAACATAACACAGGAATGCTTTGCTAATCAAGGCTGCTCAGAATCTGAGAATGAACCAGAGCTTTAGCAGGGGAGATAAGCGGGATAGGATTCCCATCACCCCACTCCATTTTTGGCAGTAGTACAAGAGAAACAGGACTTGAGGCTTGGTGGCAAAAATGACTTGCAGCTTGCATATGGAGAGCAAATTGCTGTTGCATACTGAGTTTGAAATGAGATTTCTTAACTAGAGGCAATTTGCTTCCAAAAGTTAATACCTGTGCAAGAGGATTTTAGCCATTGGCTTTGAGAAAATAAGATATACGAGTTGAACTGTCAAATAGGCGTGTGTAACTGTGGAATGGGAAGGAAGAGGAACCTTGATGCTTAGCCAAATATCAGCTTTGTTAAATATAATAAAAATTTCCTCAGACCTTTAAAGGACTAATATAGACATAGCTTTTTCTTTGCTTTTAAGGTTGTCATTGGAGATCATGATGGCGTTATTACCTGTTTTGGTATCAAAAAGGGAGAAGCTGTGGTAAGTAATTTTCTTTATAGCTTGAACAGTTACTATTAACATTGTTTTTCAAGACTGTTTTAATTAATTAATTTTGCAAAACATGATTGTATTAAAGGTATCTTTCTACTACTATAATTGATCTGTGAGCAGGATGGGTTCCCCATGTCTTGTCACATGCTCTCCCTTCAATCTTTTTGGAAGCTCGGGATCTTCAGGAGAAAAATACTCTAGTCCACAGAGCTAGCTGTGTTACTGTATTTGAGCACATCTAAGGAAGGAAGTCTTGTGGCCTCTTTAAAACTAACAGATTATATAAGAAAGATTATATAAGAAGGTCAGCCCTATTGGTACTCCCCAAAATTACACAAAATTAATGGAGAAATCTTAGATAGGTACTGGAGAAACTGTGAAAGCAAAGGCACACTAGAACACATGTGGATCTCTTTCCCCAAAGTGGAAGCATATTGGTGGGAAATAATTAAATGGGTAGAAACATTGTTGAATCAAAAATAATTAAAAATAAAGCTGTATTATTATTTTGAATATTTAAGGACAGAAAAGAAAAATTATTCAATGAAGACCTAATTGCACATCTTATTGGTGCAGCAAGAGTTGAAATTGCACTAAACTGGAGAAATGCTCAATATCTTTCAGTACAAAAATTTGAGAACAGAATCTGGCAAATGGTCCTAATGGAAAAGCTGATCAATCAAGTTAAAATATAAAGAGGGGAAATAAAACAGGATAAATTTATGAAAACTTGGCAACCATTATTAACATATGGAGTTAGCTCAAGAAAAGAAGAAAGTGATATGGAAAGTAATTTGAATTGCTGGCAAGTAATATTTTAAAAAATTAATTAAGTATGTTAAAATATGAACTAGTGGATGTATAAAGAAAATCTACTGAAAAAATATGTACGGTCAATGTATTGTACTACAATTCTAACTTGCATTATATTATGGATGTTAATAAAATTTTAAGAAAAAGACTAATAGATTTGTTTTTTTTTTTTTTTTGTTACATTTATAGCCCACCTGTCTAGTCGTACCTGTACTACAATTCTAACTTGCATTATCATATTATGGATGTTAATAAAATTTTAAAAAAAGACTAATAGATTTGTTTTATTTTATTTTTTTATTTATTTGTTACATTTATAGCCCACCTATCTAGTCGTACTGACTACTCCGGGCGGGTTTTTGTATAAGCTTTTTTGTAGATCACAGATGCTGAAAAATGTGAAAGGAGTGAACACTATCCATAGCATAGTCTATGGTGCCCTCTAGTGTTCTGGTAAATACATATTTATATGTATTTCTGGGCTTTTTATTTAGTATTTTCAGACAGCAAGTAAGTGAATCTGTGGATATTGATCCCACAAATAGGGGTTCCGGCTGTATTACAATCCACTTCCACTCATGCTAAAATAAATGCGTTATGTTTAAAGGTGCCACAAGATTCCTTCCCTCCCTTTTTGTTGTACAGTGATATCATTGAATCTGCTGTAGTTGAATATAACATTAGAATTTAGCCTTAAAGGAATATGAAAAGTATTCACATATTTTCTGTATTTTAAAATTATATTCAACTTCATTTGAGATGGTACTGAGCATTTTCTTTCCCTTTTAGCCAATATTCAAGACCTTACCAGGGGAAAAGATTGCAAGGCTAGAACTTGGAGGTGCTCTTAACACACTCCAAGAGAAAATTTTTGTGGCTGCAGGATCTGAGGTTAGAGGTTTTACCAAAAAAGGGAAGCAGTTCCTTTCATTTAATACCAACCTCACTGAGAACATCAAAGCTATGTATGTATATTAAAGATTATATTATAGTATTTAGATGTGTTGACTGTTAGATGCTAAATTGTTGTCTTAGCAAGTGGATTGAAGGGTTATTATGTTTCACTTTTTATAAATAATAACCTCAAGTATTAGAGTGCAGTACTCTGTATTCTAATACTGTTTCTTCAGCATGCAACATTGTATTATAATACCACAATATAATGCACAGTGCTATTATAACAACATCCCCTTCAGCACTGTATGTACACAAGCACAGATTTTAACAGAAGTCAATATAACAAATATGGAAATGAGCTGGTTAATAAAATATTATCAGTTAATTTGAAAGAGAAGTATGCAAAAGTATGGTGCTTCAGCTGAGCTACGGTTAAATTAGATTGTAATTAAGTTAAATGAAATCAGATCTTCTAATTGCATTTCCTATTACTCTCAGTACCTTATTTTTGTATTAATTTAATCTGTTGTAATTGCTACAGATACAAAATTTAAGATTGTTTATTGGAAGCTCATGTGTTATAAAAATCTGTTGGCCTTGTTCTGATACAAATGTTGGTGCCTGTGATTGCTACATATCTGTAAAAGTTGCTTAAAACAGGTAGTAACACTCAGACTGAATATCCTAAGAAGTTAAAAACAGCATTTTCAATAACTTGTACTGTTCTGAATGCTTAAGTTGTATTTCCACGATAGCAGTGCATAAAGAAACAATAAAAACTAAATGCTTCTGTGGTAGGGTATCACAGAAAAGGATGGATAAAACTGAGCTAATTGTGACATCAGACATTTAATGGCAGTTAATTCATCTAGTCTTCTTTTAAATACTAGACCACATTTGTTTGTCTGAATTTGTTGCTTAGGGGAATCAAACTATGGTGTGTGTATAATGGTGCCCCACTGGCTGTCTACAAGTTGAAAAGAAGTGTTTTCTGGTGAACACAATTACACAGTGCTAAGCGTTCCAACACTGGAGGTGTTCAAGAGAAAATTAGACAGTCATCTGTCAGATATACTTTGGTTTGGATTCTTGCATTGACAGAGGGGTTGGACTTGATGGCCTTATAGGTATTGTAGCGGGCCACTCTGAAGCCTCTGAACTTAGGCCTCCCAGAGTGCTCACTACTCTTCTTCAAACTGCTGCCACCAACTTATCCTTAATACTCAAAAAGGACAAGTGTTTCTTTCAAACAAATAAGTTGTTTATTGATTTGAGAAAATAAAAAGAATGAATCACCATTAATAAATCAAGTTGTAAATCAAGTTTCTCATTTAATGTACCTCACACAGACTTTTCCCTCACTGACTAACTCTCACAAATCTATCTCACTCTCTCAACCAATTTCTCTCATCTCTCAAACTCCAAAACTCTCCTTCTCACACATCACACACACCCCTTATATAATCCAGCTCCTCCCCCTTCTGCACCGCCCTCCGTCCTCTCATTGGCTGATGTTCCCCTGCCCAGCTGTGACGGACAGGTGAGAGCAGAGCTGTATGTTAAAGGTATCTTCCAACCTCATCATCATCTTGTGTTTCTAAGGGTGCAATAGTTGTGGGAACAGACTTAACTCTTTTATCTTATTCCCAGGTGTCCTGTAATAGCCGGTTTGAAAACAAGTCATGGTTGGGTTGGAGAATTCTGTTTATGGGATTTTAAAGCATTGGTTCCCAACCTTAGATCCTCAAATGTTCTGAACTAGAACTCCTAGAAATCCTCATCAGCACAGTTAGTGGTGAAAGCTTCTGGAAGTTTTAGTCTGAGAACATCTGGGGACCCAAGGTTGGGAACCACTAATTTTGAAGAATTAAGTGTTTCCCTGCCCCAGTTCTTTTCTACTCCTGATCATTTGGTTCATATTTTTGTGGTTTGGAGCTAAGTGTATGTAAAGTTTCCACATAGGTATGGCAGCAGATAGATTTTAGCTTGTAGTATCCATGTTGATAAAGTAGTATTCATTGTAACTATTATCATTTTAGGCATATATCTGGATCAGATCTATTCCTTGGTGCAAGCTATATCTATAACCATTACTGTGACTGTAAGGACCAACACTACTACCTATCAGGAGATAAAATCAATGATGTTCTCTGTCTTCCAGTAGAGAAATTGTCTTCAATTATACCTGTATTGGCATGCCAAGATAGAGTTCTTAGAATTTTGCAGGTGAGCTTGCTTTTTGTCATTATTTGAAGTTGATAGCAGGTCAACTTTTAACTTTCCTACCATGAGATGAAGAATTTAATTAATTACTTAAATTTACAAACATTCTAAAGTTTAGATGTGAAGATTTTGAAGTGAGATACAATAGTAATAATGGGGATCAGTTCATCTTTTAGAAGATAACATGAGAGGTGCTGTCAGTTGTCACCATGTTACGGTATCATCTAGGTGAGGTTTTGAGTGTTATAGTTACTCTTTTGTTGCCAGGAGGCAGATCCTCTGTTTCCCTGAAATAAGACCTAATCTGAAAATAAGCCCTAGCATGATTTTTAGGATGCTTGAAATATAAGCCCTACTCCAAAAATGAGCCCCAGTTAAGTGAAACCCTGCCTTCTTCCATTGTGCAGCAAGATGATATGACCGTATTTGAATAAATGTACCGTAAATTGTTGAAGATGAAAAAAATATAACATCCTGTACCGTAAATTGTTGAAGATGAAAAAAAATATAACATCCACTGAAAATAATGCATTTTGTGGAGCAAAAAGTAATATAAGACCCTGTCTTATTTTCGGGAAAACACGGTAATACAAATAGCACATAACTGTATCATTATCTTTTCTTCAGTTATATAGATAGGTCTGCTTGTAGTATCAAGATCATAGCTCTGTGTTAGTTATGGTGGATTTGATCTCACTCCATACTGAAGGCAGGAACACCACATTGCTTTTTAGAAAATTCTGAATTTGGACGTTTACCCCTTTCCTTGAAGTTAAATGAAGGAAAAGTCAGGGCTTAGAACTAACAGTTATTTCCATTTGATTTTCTTCAGGGATCAGATTTGCTGTACGAAATGGAAGTCCCAGGTCCACCTTCTGTTCTGGCTTTGAATAATGGAAATGGTGGTAAGCAGAATTAGCTGTTATATTTTCACTTAAATAAAAATCATCATGTGGGTATTCTTCATGGATAAAAACTGGACAATACTAATAGTTATTAGTGTTGCTGTAAGTAATTTCTACAGTAACTGGAGATTTCTTATGCATTTCTCTTACTAGGAGCAGTGGCAATAGTATGGAGAAGTTTCTTTTGCTATAATGAGACTTTTCCAGAAGTCAGATTAAAGAAAATGTCTCAGACACAGCCTAATTTGCTGAGTCCTACTACTTAATAATAGCATGGTTTTATTTTCTTCTCTTAGGTGACTCTGGTGAAGAGGTTCTGTTTGGAACATCTGATGGTAAAATTGGTCTGGTAGAGATCACTGGTGTTTCTCCAGTAGAAAAGTGGAAAATTGGAAATGAGAAGAAAAGAGGTGGTAAGTGTTTTTATGTTTTCCCCAGATCATACACAGTTATAAATTGAGTAGTGAGAAAGAGGGGTTACTATAATCATAATTGTGAGTTACCCACTGTGTCTGAGTTGCAGCTTTTAAGAAATGATGTTTTACTCTCAGTTTTTAACATAATTTAATATACCACCAATTCAAACACGCAGTTCACATATGATGCCTATATTTACATCACTGGCTGGGGATGGTCGGTTACATTGTACAGTGGTGCGCCGCATGACGACAATAATTCGTTCCGGGAAAATCACTGTTAAGCGAAATCATACGAAAAGCCTTTCCCCATTGGAATGCATTGAAACCCATTTAATGCGTTCCAATGGGGAAATTACCTCGTTGTCCAGCGAAGATCGCCGATAGGAAAGCCATTTTCCGAGCACCGATCAGCTGTTAAAATGGCTGCCCTGCGAAGCATGGGGCCAGAAAACACAGTGCAGCCATTTTAGGAACTTGATAATCAGCTGTAAAGATCATCGTCTTGCAAATAAACAGTCCACGAAGCACGGACCTAATCGACATCCAGCGGAATTCCCCCATAGGAATGACTGTTTTGCGAATTGCTATAGCAATCACAAAAAGTCATTGTCCTGCGGTTTTGTCGTACAGCGGGATCGTCCTCTAGCGAGGTACCACTGTACTTCCTAAATCAGGATTGGGGAAAATGTAGAGAAGGATTGGGAAAACAGTTCCACCCCATGTCTGGCCAGCTCCTGCATGTTTCATGTAGTATACGTTATTTTTATCACCTTCCTATTTGTTGAGCCATGCCTGGCTCATAAATGGCCAGTATTATTTCTGAGAAAAAGAAAATATTGTGCTTGCCTAAGGGAGAAGAAAGCCCTGCTCCCACTTAATTGCTTGCTGACTGACAAGATATGTACGTGTGTGTATGCATGGATGTAGGAAGGAAAATGCAGGCTAATCTGTGCATATATTTGGAGGTACTTAAAGGCTCATTTGGAGAGAGAGGTTGAGTAGAAATAAACAGATAAATAAAATAATAGATCTAATATATGTTTGGATAAGAATTTTGTTTCTCCAGTAGGGACATCGTGTTTTACTCTGTAGGCACTCTCTCATCTGCTCTGAAGAGTTCCTCAATTATTTACAGCAGGTTTGGGGGACAAGGAAAGTGCAACCAGACTGAATTATTCTGCTTATAATGCCCATTTTGTTGATTGATTGCAATCATCCAAAGTGTATATCATTATTCAGTGTTGATTTAAGGCATCTGTTATATGATAGGCAACATATTAGAATTTATGCGAAGCCAGGATATAGTATAATAAGTTGCATCCTGGCCCTGTTTCAAAAGAAAAAATTGTAGCCAAATTTATCCATCTTTTTCTTGACTGGAATTTGATAGGAAAATGTGAAATATAGATGAAATAGCTTTAATTGCAGCTGGCAGCTTTTCTTTTACTTTGCAGTTCTCACCAAAGACTTAACTAAATAAAGATAATTCAGATGAATGATTAAAATCCAGGGCAACACTAAAACAACCCAGGGGATGGCACAACTGCTGCAGAGTAACAATTGCATGTGAATATGATATTCATTAATAAACTGTTGCTGCAAACTCATGTTACTTCAACACAAAAACATATTCAAGGAAGTAACACTTTATCCTTTTCTAGATTTTGGACTAAATCCAATAGTTAGTCCCCAGCTAGTGTAGAGCCACTGGAAAAATGGGACTTATAAATTTCCAGTGACATTAAAAAGGGTGAAATTACTAATGAACTGGAGGTTGATGTGTTTCTTGTGTTTTCTAGGCATATTATGTATGGATAGCTTTGACATTTTGGGAGATGGAGTTAAAGAATTGCTCATTGGTCGAGATGACGGAATGCTAGAAATCTACAGCTTTGAAAATTCAAAGAATCCTGTTCTTAGATTTGAATATGTACGTTTTAAAAATGGTTGTTTCTGTATTGTTAATATTCTTTTTCATTTTTATTTTTTGAATTTCAAAAACTAATGAATGGTAAATATTTCTATCACATTTGTTCAATCATACTTTTGATTAACAAGAATGATGAGGGCTCTGTGCAAGTGTCAGAATACCAGTTAGGTCGTAGCTGCACATCCTGGCTCTTGCACACAAGTCTGAGATGTCGCCTCATGTTGATATTCTGAAGTTAGCAGAAACATCTTACTAAAATGTCATATTGAGACAGGATTCAGCAGAGTTAGATCTTGCAAAACTAGAAGAGAAAGCACTTATACCCTTTTATCCTCATGACAAATGTTACTTTGGGGAGAGAGGTTTGGAAACAAGTGATAGCAGATTTGTTAAGAGTGCACAGAGGATGTACATGATGCTTTATTCCCTATTTGTGTCATTTGATGTTTTCTAACCTGTAGGTTTAGGGTTAGAATGAAATGCATTCTTTTATAGAAAAGTGTTTAGAAGCAAGTCATTTATTTATTTATTTATTTAACTTATATGCAGCCCACTCTACAAAAAGTCTCTGGGTGGCTTACAATAATTAAAATACAATAAAAATACAATAAAAAGATAAAACAATTAAAATACAATTAAAATAGATACTCTAAAATACTCTTGCCACTCATTCAAAGATATTGAAAAAAGCTTCAGGGTTTATTTTGAAAACCATGTTGGGACAGGAGGCTGATAGGTGTACTCAAAGTATCCACCACCATTTATGGGAGTTGCAATCTTTTAAACATTCTTCTGCAAGATGTTCTTTCTTCCTTTTCGCTACAGGGATGCAAACAACTGATTCATACTTTTTGCAAACACTGTTGTTGGATTAGACCCACTATTTGAGCCCACTGTACCACTAACTTTTTAAAACTTTTTGGAGGTGTGTCAGGCATGTTGTTCATATGTTAGCTAGATTTCTTTTGATGCCATCTACTAGTTTCAGCTGTCAAGATGAAAGGCCTTACAATTTTTTTTTACTCATCCAGTGCCTGTGATACTTAAATGTATCATCATAATTAATGTTTACTGCAGAAATGTCTTTCATATTCCAGTTTTTAAAATGTCTTTCATATTCCAATCTTTAATTAACAGGGGAAAATATAAATAGATATTTACTTATTATAATTATTCCTCCAAAGTCTAAGTGGCTACAATGCAACTAGATTAATTAAGAGTAAAAATGCATCTACAAGAGCAGGACCATCCAAGGACACTCCTTTGAACAGAGACTCTTTTATTGACAATCCTTTCAGCTGTTTTACTCTTATTAATGAATACAGTGGTGCCCCGCTAGACGCTTACCCCACATGACGTCGAAATTGCCTGACAATGATATTGAAACAATGGTTCCAATGGGGGAAATCCGCTTTACATTGATTAGGAGCCTGTTTTTTTCTGGATCTGCAAAATGGCTTCCCTCCCTTCTCAAAATGGCTGCTTTCCGGCTCTGCAAAATGGCTTCCCTCCCTTCTCAAAATGGCTGCTTTCCGGACCCCTGCTTCAGAAGACAGCGATTTTAAACAGCTGATCTTCTCTATGGTCGCTGCTCAATGAGGTATTTCGCCCATTGGAACGCATTGACTGGTTTTCATTTCATTTCAATGGGTTTTTTACTTTTGCTTGATGATGATTTCGCTTTACAGAGATTTTGCTGGAATGCATTATCGTCGTCAAGCGGGGCACCACTGTAAATGGTTGCATATTTTACATTGAATTCAAGAAAAGCAATACATGTCTTTGACATTTTTGTCTTTTCAGGCTTTATCAGAGAGTGTAACATCTGTTCACGGTGGATGTGTTGGCAAGGAAGGCTATGATGAAGTGGTAACATCTACTTATTCAGGTTAATTTTCACCTATGATGATCAGCACGTGCTGTTTTTGTGTGTGACCAGTTTCCCCCTGAACAGTTTGTACTTCTTTAGCATCTGTGGTTGAAGCATAGACTTGAATGATGGTTATGACTCATTAGCAAGGTGCCCTCTAAGCTGCATGCTCGTGCCACTGCCTCCCTCCACACAGGTTTCTTCCTCTGCACAGTGATCGCGTTCAACCTCTTTGGTTCTGGTTGCGACGGAACCCTGCGTGCGGGGGGGGGCAGAGTCACACATGCATGCTGGGGTGAAGCCGCAAGAGGAAGAGGCAGAGCCCCACCCAGCAGGGCTGAAAATGAGAGGGTATGTTGCTCATTAGTATTGTTTGGTCAAACTCTAAATCGTAGCCCTTTGGTGCTTGTGCTATGTCTTCCCTTATTAGAGTCATGCAGTTTCTTTTTGAGTTTGTTGTTTCCAGAGTGAAACACTTTGTCCTTATTTTATTGAAAATGTCCTGTTCTAGAACACATTAGTTTATTCATGGTTAAATGTTGCAGTGTTTAAACATTCTATTTCTTTTTTTACAATTTCAAGTTTTCCTTGATTTATACATCTTAAATACCATGTTCATTATGGCAACTTGTGGCATCAGATTTGCCTTTTGTGTCCATGCACATTAGCATGGACACAAAACATGGTGTGCACTGCGGGTTAAACTGCAGAAGTCTCTGTGCTACAAGATCAGAAGACCAAGCAGTCGTAAGATTGAATCCACACGACGGAGTGAGCTCCTGTCGCTTGTCCCAGCTCCTGCCGACCTAGCAGTTTGAAAGCATGTAAATGCGAGTAGATAAATAGGTACCCCCTCGGTGGGAACGTAAGTGCATTCCGTGTCTAGTTGTGCTGGCCACGTGACCATGGAAACTGTCTTTGGACAAAATGCTCGCTCTATGGCTTGTAAAACGGAGATGAGCACCGCACCCTAGAGTCAGACATGACTGGACTAAATGTCAAGGGCAACCTTTACCTTTTAGCCTTTAATCTTCAAGGTATTTGCTTCATTAGCAGCAATGCCTATTTATACTTAATCTTTCCTCTCCCCGATTAGCTGGCTGACTGGGTGTCCCATCTTCCACTATTATCTCTTTTTTCATTTTATACTTTCATCATATACTTTCAAGGTATAAAATATTCAGAAGGCTTTATCATTTCCTTCTTGAGTACAATTGCTAATAAGCATTAATTTGACTGGTACTGGCTATTGTCTGCGAAAGATCCTTTGTCATTGTCACTTTTGCTGAATAGCTAACCTTCAGAAATTTCTTTGCTCTCATCTATATTGGAACTAAGAAAAGACAATATGCTGAATAATAAATTTAACTAATTGCCAAACATTTCTTCCTGCAAATTGAATTGTGATTTTTACTTAATTGTCAAGGCTTAGTCTTATCGAGATGTATTTGTCTGGGTCTGTTTTCCAACTGTAATTCCCTAAGTTTATTCATTTGTGTCAGGAAAACTATTGCATCAGATGAAAGGCATACTGCTTTGTTTAATGGGCCTGACAATTCCTAGAGTTTTTCTAGGTGTATCAGTTGCTGAGGGTGATGCCACACCTTGTTCGCTTGCATGTAAGAAGACCATGGTGGCTCCTGTCAGCCCCAGAGCTTGGAATAATTACCTTGTTAGAAATACAGCTGCCAAAATACTTAGGCAAGCATGTAAAATTCTGGGAGTTATAGTCCAAGGAAGTAAAAATTCCTTGCTCTTTAAGCTAAGTTCCTGACAATAATACTTTTGTAAGAATGCTCTTTTGGGAACATTTTCATAATTTTTCATTTGTGCATTTCAGGGTGGGTGTCAGGTTTGACTACAGAGCCTATACATAGAGAATGTGGATCAGGAGATAGCTTAAAGATGACACATGAGATGCAGAACAAGGTTTTATCCTTAAGGTAACATAATTGTTATATTGGGATGCAAAAGAGGTGTGGCTGTCATTCTTTTATTTTTGTTTATTTAATTTCTACCCCACCTTTCTCCCAGTAGAAGGACCAAGGGTAGCTTACAGAAGACTTATAACCCCTATGCCATGTGTGCCCAGTGTGTAGGTGACTTACATGCTTAACAGAATCTGTATGGCATTACAGAAGTTCATTAATAGTATTAGAATTTCAATTATAAGTTTCTTTGTGTCATTTGTTTTTCTGTAAGCCTCCTTAGAATATTTATCTTTCTAATTAGAAATTGTTGCTGTGCAACAAGATGTTCTTCCTGCCACTTAGAGACTTAAAATGAATCTCACAGGTTCTTTTCTTTTTGGTGGTACAGTATATAGCAGCTGGTTCGGATGACAGCTAGGAGATGGGGTTTCATGAACCACGATTTATGTAACTGGGAATTGACTTCTGAGACTGAGTGTTTCTCCAACCACCCTATCCTTTCCCAATAACACACTAACTTCATATTATACTCTGCTTTAAATGAAGTTTCCTGTTATGTCAAAACCAGGGAATTCTGGCTTAATGTCAGCTGGCAGGTCAGGAAACTTAACTATGATGTGATGATATCCTGGCTTACTTTCCTGGTGGATCAGCTAGCAATGTGGCAGGGGTCCCCATTTCAGACATACTAGAGAACAGTTGTTTAATATAAGCCAGGACCCTTGCTCTGAAGCTGGGGAGGAGAAGCAAGGGGTCATTTGGCCTGGCATTTTTCTAGCTTTTTAAGCCTTTTTTATCAGAAGTTTGCTACTATGATTTTCTTCCTAATATCTGTAAAGTTATTCTGCTACTCTGATCTTGTTATCTCAATAAACTTTATGCCTACTCGCCTTTCTATTTGCCACAGGAATGAATTAGAACAGTTACAAATCAAGGTGCTTCAGGAACGCGAAAAATACCAGCAGTCCTCCTTCTCCAGCACTGCTGTTTTAGCAGTCCCAACATTCAGTATAAATGATAAATTTACACTAAATAGAGATGATGCTAGCTACAGCCTTGTTTTAGAGGTCCAAGCAGCAATTGATACTGTTTTGCTACAGGTGAGAAATGTTTGGAGTGATTTGGCAGACCCTTGGAAATTTTGAGTTTATTAAAACATGTGTTACCTTGCTTTTCCTGAATGGATTTAATTTATACTAAAGTTTCATTATTTCACTAAGTAGAAAAATCATTTTATGATAAGTGCTGACCTTTCTCTGAATCTTGCACATAGGCAGAATACGCCGTCCCTCCTGTAGACTGTCTAGGAGCCCACTAAAACTCCAGTGCTACAAGAACCTTTCTGTTGCTGTGGGTGTATCTGGCTGGCTATATTAAAACATATCAAAACATCACTGAAATTAATAGGATTTAAGGAGATTGCTGAGTGCTCGATACCTATTTCAAGGAAACTGAGATGTGCCAGGTTTCCTTTGGTGTTTGGCTTTTGACTATGGTCCTTCGGATTTCCTGATATGCATGGTTTGAGTTTGTTTTGGTAACAGCCTTTCTGCTATCTGTTCCTTGTCAAGCTCTCACATTAGATACATCCTTATTACTTTATGCATGGATACTGAGTTTTGCACAACTATTTCATTGGGTAAATATTATGACAGTTGTGGTGACTATTAAGAACACTTTAAAATTCCTAGGGTCTTCTAAAACTAGGGCATGTATAATATTGTAAGCTGTACATTATGTGCATTGGTATGGACAATTAATAGAATCCTTTCCTGTATATTCATAGTTTAATGGGCAGTCTCAGGAACATGGGTGCTCGTGGTACAATCTTGGAAGCTGATGAGAGCACATCCCATCTTCCCCTACAGAATAGTGAGAGGCTGTCACCTCACCACTAAACAATCCCTAAATAGCAGCCATGATGAGATGTTTAAACCACTCTATCCCTGCCTTTATGTGCAGGCATGGGAAAATTGTATGTGCATCGAGGTACACATGTGCAGCTCCTCACTCCAGCTAACACTGGATATTGCTTTAGGGCTGAAATGTTTGTCCATCCTTGATTCAACAGGTAACAGTGTAAAAAAAAAAAAAGGAACGTGAAAGCAAAGGGAAAGCAAGTACCATATTTGCCGGCGTATAAGACGACCCCAACATTTCCAATCAAAATATAGCGTTCATTATATACTCACTGTATAAGACTACCCCCTTCCTCTGCCTTTTACCCCGCCGGAGGGGCCAAAGAGGTAGGAGAAGGAAAGCAAGTTTCTGGGGTGGGCTACCAGCTGGCCCGAGGCAGAGGCCAGCGCCTGCTCGCTCGCCCGGCCTCCGGAAGTCTCCTTGGGAGTCCGGCGCGGTGGCGGCGCTGGCTTGTTGCACGCGCCGTTTGCTTGCCAGCTTCTCTCCGCCAGGGCAACATGGTGGTAGGTCACGGGGAAGAAGGAGGTGGCGCTGCTGCTGCTGCTTTCCATGTGGGCAACTGTGCGAGGAAGTGACTGATTGGGTGGGGACTGAGCTCCGCCCGCTTCCCGGGCTGGGCTCGCCTCTCCATGCTGCTTCCTGCTGGGCCATGTGGCACCTGAGAGCTGCCTCCTCGGGAGAAGAGGCGCCGCTTCCTCTTCTTCTTCCTCCTCCTCGTTCACCTCCTCTTTCCTCCTTGCGCTACTTGCTCCCTGCTCTGGGTGCACCCGGCATATAAGACGCGCCCCTCCACTTGGAGGCATGTTTTTCAGGGCAAAAAAGTCATCTTATACGCCGGCAAATACGGTACTGGAGCAGAAGCTCCTATTATAAGCAGTGTTTTGAATATCTGGCTTTATCAAAAGTTTTCTTAGCCAGCCTAAAGAAAGGGTTCTTTGAACTCACAGATTAATGTTTCCTATTTTCTGGGATTGTTTCCACAGTGTGATGTTCCAATAGACCTAAAGGATGTGGATAAAAATTCAGCAGTGGTTAGTGTTGTTGACTGTGAATCAGAGGTATGTAAACTTCTTGGTTTTTCTTTCTTTCTTCCTTCTTTTAGATAGATCTAGATACTGTGCTGAAAACCTGTTTAATTCTATGGACTATAATCCAAGAGCAGTTAACAGATTAAATGTTTAAAACTCTTTGATAGTAAAAACTAAGGTGTGAGCGTTTTATAGTACAGTATTAGTACAATGTACTGGAGTAAATGAATACCAGATTTTTATATAAATGTTTTCAAGGCACATTATGGCTCACATTTTAAAGGAACAAATTAATATGTTTGCTTGCAGCATAAATGTGATTATATTGTTTTATGTGTTTGCAATCTGCTATAAGGAAGCACCAATAAAGTCTCATAAAATTTAACAATAATTGCAGTGCTGTAACAGATTAGTCCCAAAGCCAGTATCCTTTTGCTTTCTCAGAGCACAATGATTTTGCAGATCAAGTGTTTTGTATATTATTCTCCTGATAGCCAGCTTGTAGTTACATAAAGTGGACATGGTTTCACAGTTTTAAATGGGGAACAAGGTGTAGGTGGGATCTCCTTTAAGCAAAAGACACATCGAATGGACCATTCCATATGTAGTTATTCGCAAACAGTATACTAGTCTTACTTACTTGGAAGTAAGTTTCACCGTATCCAGTGATACTTACTTCCACATGAATGCACAAGGAATTGCAGCCCAATATGTACACAATATTAGAACATTATAATTTCACAACTTCTTCACTTTTCATTGTACTTCTTTGGTAGTTATTTCAGTAATATATATGTTTTATGTGGTACTAACTTGTTGCATGTTTCACATAAGTGTAGGTGAAATACGCAGCAATTTTGGGGTGAATGAACACTGTAATTTTAAAAACAATTTCTAGAGCATGTTTTCTACAATTCAAGATTTATAATTAGGAATACGAGAAACAAATCTATTAGTTGAAAAAACTTTTCTGTTTTGATAGTTGCTGGTGTGGAATAGTCTGTGTTGCAGCAAAATCAACTAAGAGTCTTATAGCATCTTAAACGCTAATGCTTTTATGGTGCCATACATTTTATAGGCTGGAATGCACTGTTTCAAGAAGTGAACTCTGATTCATAAATAGTAATAAAATAGTTATCAACAATTGTGCCATAATAAATTGGTTAGCAAGACATGCTAGATTAAATCCAGATGTAGGTGCATGAAACTGGACAAGCAGAGAGAACCCCCCCTCTTCTCCTGAAGGCAGCTGTTTCAGCCCTCTAAACATGATACACTGATGGCTGGAGGCCCTGCTGAATGTGGTGGGTTGTTCTGTGGAGGAACAGCTCCCCCAAATCTGACAGAGGCACCTCCTGTAAGATGGCTTTGCCTGATTTTTTTTGGGGGGGGGAAGAGAATTCCCCTTATGCCACAGCTCACCCCATTCAGCAGGGTCCTTCAGCCCTTTGTGCAGTGGTGCTGCAGGAAGCATCAGGGTTGAGGAATGCCACTTCAGGTGAGTGCATTTCAATCTGAACTCCAGTCTATGGTTCTGTAGAAAATATAGTATAAAAATGATGTGGGCTGCTTTGGTTGTAAATAAAAATAACTTTGAACCTCTGTTCCTGTTTTCTAAGTTTACTGTTTTTAATTTTCATTTTCAACAGCCAAATGGCAACTTTCTTCTTGCCACATATCGGTGTCAAGCAAATACTACAAGGCTGGAACTGAAGGTAAAATATAGTATGATTTTAACACATTAGTTGAATCTTTTGTTGAAACTGAACATTAAAAAATTATTCAGTAGAGCAGCAATAAGAGTAAGAATGAGGAAAACAAAACGTTTACAATAATAGGTGGAAAATCATATTTTTATATTTTGAGAGCAGAAATGTGAATTGAACAATTTTTATTTTGTGATTCAGTACACGATCAATCTAAAAATATTCAAAAAAGGTTATCAGAAACTATTAACTGGTTTACATAATCAAAAATGATAACAGGGTGCTATCATCACAATTCTGTACTCACATATGTAGAATGATCCCCATTGAACTCAATGAAACCTGAGTAAGCATGTGTCAAGTTATGGTATATGTGTGAGGTTTTTTGTTTTCAATAAACACTTTAAATGTGCATCTGAAATGGATAATTAAATATTAAAATATTGTTTCTTTGCTTGTAGAAAAGCTCTGTAACATGTTTATCATGTTACTTAATAATAGATACCCTTGACTACTTATTGGTTGGTGGCATAAATCCAGCACTGTAATGCCACAGCACAGTAGAACCAGCACAATAGAATGTTCTTCTTTTTCTGTTTGGCAGTTTTTAAAGCTGCCTGAAAACATACTGCAGTTCATTTCTCAGCTTTTGAGAGTCAGTTTTTGGACTGCACAGGGAAAAGAATGCTGGGCCTCATCTTCACTTCCCCAAGTGGATGTCCAACATTAGATCTTGCCTATAATTAAGGCTTTTCAATATACAGTCATGCCTCGCTTTACAATTGCCCCGCATTACGATGAAACCGCATTACGACAATCTTTTTGCGATCGCAAAACGATGGTCTAAATGGGTTTTTTTCACTTTGCGATGATCGGTTCCCTGCTTCGGGACCCGATTCTTCACAAAATGACGATTTTAAAACAGCTGATTGGCAGTTTCAAAATGGCCACCGGGTAAACAAAATGCCCCCCCGCTGTTTTCTGGGACGGATTCCTCGCAAGACAGGCAGGGAAAATGGCTGCCCTATGGAGGATCTTCGCTGGACGGTGAGTTTTGACCCCATTGGAATGCATTGAAGGGGTTTCAAATGCGTTTCAGTGGGGTTTTTTTTCACTTTACGATGTTTTTGCTTAATGGCGATTTTCCTGGAACGGATTATCGTCGTTAAGCGAGGCACCACTGTAAATTTACTTAGAGGTAGTGGTTAGACATTTTGTGAAGCTGAAGAATATGTGTTTTGCTACTTCAGTAGTTAATTATTTTTTAGAACTGGTAGTTTTGAAAAACCGAAGTTAAAAGTAAAGTTATTTTTATTCTTTTTCTACTACAGATTCTTTCAATTGAAGGTCGGTATGGAACACTGCAAGCGTATGTAACTCCACGAGTTCAACCAAAAACATGTCAAGTTCGGCAGTACCAAATAAAGCCACTCTCACTTCATCAGAGGACACATTGTATTGATCGTGACAGGTGTTTCTAAGATTAACTGGCTTGCTTTTGTTTGAATATAAGGCATTTGTACATCAGATCTACTGCAGATCATTGTTGAGTTACAAGCTGGCTTAGCCAAAAGCTCACAGACATAACTAATAGTGAAAATATCTGAGCCTAAAAGCAGAACATAACAATGTTAACTTCTTTGACTGGCAAGTGTTTCTCTAATATATTGCATAAGAGAAAGGTGTTTCTCTGAAGGAAGCCACCTTCATCAGAAGATGCTTCTCTAGATCAAGCTTATATAAATTGTGTAAGATATCACTGGATATTGTATTTGCATAGTTTTTGCTGCATTTCTCTAGAGAGGGATGTCATTTTTCTACTAAACCATTAATAAAGCTCAAAGCAGTGTGAAATAGAAAATCTAAGTTAATATAGCACTTGTCTGTGAGGATTGCTGAACTAATATTTTCTCATGGCTTGCTTGAATATTTCTGTATACCTACCTTTACCGATTTCACTGAATGCAAAATGGAATATAATACCACAAGCAAGTTCTAGTTCATTTTCCTTTTGTTTCCTGTGCAAACAGCATATGCTGTGTTGCTTTACTGCATTATGTAAGAACATCTTTTTAATAGAGGTTATAGTTTTACAGTTTTGCTGAACAACAGTAACAACATTTTATTGTTTTTCCTGAAACTTGCTCCACATAAATGTGCTCAGCATAAGAATTAGAAAGAAACAAGATGCAAATTTTAATGTTGAATCCTGTTGTGGTGCTGGATTTTAATTTTTCAAGACAATCCCTTGAATGTGATCCTAAATTATCTTGCTTAGCAAGCAAATTACTATACTTGGAAAATCTAATGGCTCTGTATAAAACGGATCAAACTAACTTTTAATGATTGGTAGCAATGTTCCCTCTAATTTTCAGCCCTGCTCGGCAGGGCTCCCCCCCCTCGTGCATATGACTCCGCCCCCCGCCCCCCGCAGGGTTCCATTGCAACTGGAGCTAAAGGGGCTGGAAATGATCGCTATTTGTAAGAGGAGGAGGAGAAATGCTGCACAGAACGGCAGGGTTACACGCATACTTACAGTTGCACACCTTAAAGGGAACCTTGCTTGGTGGCTTGCTTTATCTACTTTTACTTCAGCTACTCCAGCAGGACATTGATTATTCTTTTACAACATATACTTTTTTTTTCAGACCAATGAATACATTGACCCTCAAAGGCCAGTTCAGCTTTGCAGAAGTTCACTCCTGGGTTGTGTTTTGTTTGCCTGAAGTTCCTGAAAAGACACCAGTGGGGGAGAGCGTCAGCTTCTATTTTCAGAATACTTTTTTGGATACACAGCTTGAGTGTACTTACCGGTAAAATGAAACAGTTACTGAAGAAAGCAGTTTTGCTTGAATGTTAGTAAATAAAATGTGGCAAAGTATATCCTAGTTGAACATAGAAGTAGTGCTTGTTAATAATTGTATTTACACATCCCCATCCATTTTTGTGTTTAGTTAAATTACTATAATTACTTTGACTCTGGATATCCCCCAACCTCCATATAACTCAGTCCTAAATAAATGTAGCTCTGCAGCTTTTAACAGGACTTGTTTCATAGTACCTTACTGTTCTGAAACTTCTCTAAGGTTCCCAGATAAAACTGGATAGGGGGTTTCAGAAGATTCCATCAGTGAGCAATAAACTTCCAGAGATAATTAGAAAAAAAATACTGTTTGTACTTTAGAATTCGCATTTGTGCATTCAGTCCTCCAGATATATTTCTGGAAGGCTGTTTTTGTGTATGTAAAATGTGGATTACTACATACATTTTAGATCACTGAAGTCAGTTTACATATATATAATTGTTTCAAATGATTAATTGCCAACATTATTTATATAGGAAAGGGGAAGGATACTTCAAATCAGACAATATATCCACAATATCCATTCTGAAGGATGTACTCTCTAAAGAAGCCACTAAAAGGAAAATTAATCTTAACATATCATGTGGTAAGGATTTTTTCTTTTTTCTGTTAAACACAATACACATGTTGCATTTATATATACATATAATGTATATATGTTCACACTATTCAGTGGCTTTCTTTTGGTTGTCTTCTAGATATAAATGAAATATCTGTGAACCACACCTTAAAGCTAATCCACCCAAAATTAGAATACCAGCTGATGTTGGCTAAAAAGGTTGAACTCATAGATGCTTTAAAGGTAAGTTTCTGGTAGGTTCCAAATTCATATGTAGAATGGATGGACTGTTGTGGTAACTTTGCTTCGTTGTTGCTATGGTACTTCTCGCTATTATAATTTTGCTTATTTTGCATGTTTGGAGATTCTTTTTCAGAAGTTGCATAGATGCTTTAAAGGTAAGTTTCTGGTATGTTCCAAATTCATATGTACAATGGATGGACTGTTGCGGTAACTTTGTTTTGTTGTTGCTATGGTATTTCTTGCTATTATAACTTCGCTTATTTTGCAAGTTTGGAGATTTTTTCAGAAGTTGTTTCAAAATAATAGATATGCTGTTGGCAAATACATAAAACTGGTATTTAAAAAATCTAGACATGCTGGAGCGATCGCTTAGCGATGGCCCCTATGGCTAAAATTTGCTTTGTGATGATCGCAGGGATGCGATGATCGCAAAGCGAACTTTTTAAAACAGCTGATCAGTGGTTCCAAAATGATCGCCACTGTTTTGCCTCACTTGAGGCACCCAAAATGGCCACCGCTATGGAGGAATTTCGCTTTAAGGTAAGTTTTTAGCCCATAGGAATGTATTAAATGCGTTTTAATACGTTCCTATGGGCTTTTTCATATCACTTAGTGATGAAATCACTTAGCGATGTTTTTTCCGGAACGGATTAACATAGCTAAGTGAGGCACCACTGTAATAGATATGCTATTGGCAAATACATAAAACTGGTATTTAAAGAATCTAGACACTGAGTGAGAAATACAGCTAGGATAATTAAGAGAGGGGTCATAATTAAGTGGTAGACTAAATGCAGAAGGTCCCAGAATCAGTCCTTTGTGTCTGCAATTGAAATGATACAGGTGAGTAGTATTGTGGATCTTGCACGCCTGCTGTTAATAATAGCTAGCACTTTCATTCCCCGTGAGAGCAGACAATAATTGACATAATGGGCATATAGGTAGTATAAGCCATTCCCACTTTATTTATTGCCTGGATGTTTTGTAAAAGGTAGCATTGGGACAGTCACAGGTGCAAAAGTATTTTGGAATACTATTTATTCACAGCACGCCTTGAAATTTTGTTTTATAAATTAAAATTGAAATTAGGCTTAGAATGTTTATGTGCATTTATATATATGTAACACAAACTGACAAGTAAAAGTCAAATAGGGTCCATTATAAATAGAGTAGAACCCCTGTATCTGTGGGGGATTGGTTCCAAGCCCCCCCAACGGATATTGAAAAGTGCAGATACAGGTGAGTAGTATTGTGGATCTTGCACGCCTGCTGTTAATAATAGCTAGCACTTTCATTCCCCGTGAGAGCAGACAATACTTGACATAATGGGCATATAGGTAGTATAAACCATTCCCACTTTATTTACTGTCTGTATGTTTTGTAAAAGGTAGCATCGGGACAGTCACAGGTGCAAAAGTATCTTGAAATACTATTTATTCACAGCAAGCCTTGAAATTTTGTTTTATAAATTAAAATTGAAATTAGGCTTAGAATGTTTATGTGCATTTTTATATATTTATGTAACACAAATTGACAAGTAAAAGTCAAATAGGGTCCATTATAAATAGAGTAGAACCCCTGTATCTGTTGGGGATTGGTTCCAAGCCCCCCAACGGATATCGAAAAGTGCAGATTGTAGCCAGCACATGGCAAACACATAGCAAGTGTGATTTTAAAGTTTAATCTATTAATTCGTTACCTGTATGTTAAGAGGAACTTTTTTTCTCCCAGAAACCTTCCCCCATCTACCAAGCTAGTATGAATCCTGCTATCCTCTGTGCAACTTTGGTCTGCGCATTCTGAAAATCTGGTCTGGACTATCGGAATGGATCTGCCAGAGTTTAAATTGCATTGGTTGATCCACATTCGTGGAGCAAATATTATAGTTTTAACACTATGTGTTTAAAGTTTATGAATCAGGCATAATAAAACATGAACAACAATGAAACACAGAAGAACAATGAAAGTTATGTGAATGTGATTATTGCCATGTAGTGTCAGGCATATACACCTTCTGGTGATCCTTCTGTTTGAGACTATGGTCTGATGCCTCCCACCTTCATCACAAGTGTTATTTCTGGACACCTAAGCCTCCTAAAAATAAGGTTCTAGATTCAAACTCAGTAGAGTTTATATTCAATTCCTTCCTTGAGTGGTGAGAGGAACTTTTGTCCTGTCATAAATTCTCTGTGAAACTCTGCTCCAGGCATTCTGCAACCTGGTGCAGATCCGAGGAATGAGTTTATACTGCACCTGGTGATCCAGTTTCATGGAACACTATGCTTTTAAATTTTAATTAATTTCTTCCTTGAATGGTGAGAGGGACCTTTTTTTGTTGTCAGAATCTCACCCCTTCTACCAAGCTAGTATGAATCCTGCCCTAGATTCTCTGAGCCCCTTTGCTCCAGGCAAGGAATGGATCTGTCAGAGTTTAAACTGCTTCTGGTCTGGTGATCTTTCATTGACTGCATGTGATTGTGGTTAAGTGAATCAGTGGATACTGATCCAGTGGATACAGGATTCTACTGTATCAGGAGTAAAGTTTTGTGTGGAAGCTTTACCCTGTTACTGACCACAGATTCCTTAGCTGAACCTGGCACAGAAGCCAACCAAGTTTATCTTACGCTCACCTGTCTGTGTCATTATTTTGAACTTTATTGTTCAAATTAACTGCTGTTTTTGGACTGTATGGCTCTACAGTAGTCAAAACCAAGTAGGTCCTGCATTCATGATATAAATCATTCTACTGATTATATGAAACTAAGAGTAGCAACTTTGGTACGCTTCCTTTGGAAAGCTGATCTGTGGCAACTTTAAGGTTACTGCAAAAAAAAAATTCTTAATAGGGATTCCTAAAAAGAGTATTAGCAGAGGGTCCCTAGTTTGTGGTCTTAGATGGAAGATGAGGGATTATGAATAAACCTTTAAACCTTGGTTAAAAAGTGGGGCAGATTTTATCTGTGTATCTTCTTCCCGTTCCTACTGGCTCCACATATATATTTTTTTATTTTCCAGCATTCAATGTAATTGTTAGCTTTAAAGGGCTGACCTTTTAATGATCTTTACATTTTATTAATATTTAAGGAGTTACAAGCCCATGAAGGAAATATGGACTTCCTCATTCCAGAGTACCGCAGCATTTTGGAGGAGGCAGAACAGTTACTCAGCGAACACAAGAAACAACCTACATCTCTTGAAAGACTTTATGGTTGGTTCATTAACAGTTGTCCTAATTTTCTCTAGCGTTTTCTTTCTTTTGTGTTGTCAGGTGAGGGAATCTGATACCTGAATATCTGAAGAGCCATACAGAACTTTATAGACCTCTAGGGAATAATAAGAAGCCTGTGGTTGTCAGAGCTGGCATTTACTGTATTTTTCCATATATAAAATGACTCCCCTAAAATAAAATGTTATACATTTTATACAAGGAAGGAGGCAGTCGTGCGTGCGCTCAGGCACCTCTTCCTTCAGCTGTTGCAGCCAGATCACCTCTCCAGCAAACGTCTTATTGGGGCAGGGGACAAGGCAGCGAGGTGAGCCCCGGCAGTTGCACTGGAGAAGGTGATGGGGCGGGCAGCAGAGATAGCAGCAGCAGGAGACGGAGGTGGAAGAGCAGTTGGCCATTAGCTGGTTGCACTGGAGAAGGTGACTGGGTGGGCAGCGGAGATAGCAGCAGCAGCAGGAGACGGAGGTGGAAGAGCAGTTGGCCATTAGCTGCTCCTCCACTTCCATCAAGGGTCAAAATTAAGGGGTCATTTTATACATTGGGGGGTTATGTACATGGAAAATACGGTATTCCATTTAGGATTAATTCTCAAATCCTTTTCAATCTGATCAAAGTTCATCTGGGTATCAAGGTATAAGTCTTTTCATTGTTGCGATAACTGCAGGCAATATCAGCTTGTCTAATCTTACATGCTTTATTTCTCTACATTGCTTCTATGTTCCATATACACAAAAATACTTCGAAGTTTGTAAATATCTAAAAATCTTACAGCTATGGAAAACTCTAGGTACAAATACTTTACAGCTATAGAAAACTCTAGGTACAAATGCTTTAGAATTATATGAAAACTAAACTTGCAGGCAAATACTTCAGTCAGAATTCAGTCCAAAATGTGGTAGCATAAAAAGAAAAAGAAAATACCAAAATTAATGTTTCAATTACATTAATGTTTCAATTACATTCTAAGAATGCAAAAACATAGAATAAAAAGGCACATTTAAAAAGCTAAAATTACCGTATTTTTCGCTCCATAAGACGCACCTCTCCATAAGA